AATGGATGTCCCAATGGCCATTTAGGTCTTAGGAAGTCCAGGCCATGCAATAGAGATCTGCATACTAGTTAACGGTAGGATGAGGGAGATTTTAAACAAGATTGCAATGACTGGAAATCCTATACAGTGGTACCTTGGGTTACATACGCTGCAGGTTACAGACGCTTCAGGTTACAGACTCCGCTGTACCTCGGGTTAAGAACTTTGCTTCAGGATGAGAACAGAAATCATGCAGTGGCGGTGCGGCAGCAGCGGGAGGCCCCATTAGCTAAAGTGGTGCTTCAGGTTAAGAACAGTTTCAGGTTAAGAACAGACCTTGCTTCATGGGATAAATTATTACCAGAGACAACAATGTGCAAACAATAAAGACATAATACAATGCAAAATTATTTCTCAGGACAGAATAAAAAGTGTGCATGTGTGATGGGGGGGGGGAGAGAGACAGCGGAATATAAACACTTGCTGCTATTTATGTGTAGTGGTTCTAGGGGTTGCTCGTGTGTAAGCCGGTGCAAACACCTGGCTGGGTTGCCTGAGTGAACCTTTTCTGTCCGGACAGCCACTCACCCGTGGCTGTCTCAATTGCTGGCAGAATCCGTCAGTGGGCGTTTCTTAAACTTCTTCCAGCAAAGAAGCTCTTTGATGCCTAGTCTCCTCCTACTTTCTCCGCGTGAAAGCCTTCTGCACAAGGAGGGCGTAGGCAGCGGAGGACCCCTACTCTCCCCGTTGGTCCCCGGCAAGGAGTCATGGGACCGCCTCGCCGCTTCCCCCATCTGCCCCCCTTCTCCACTGGTGCTACGCTGATTCTCTTCCCCAGAAGATGGGCTGCCTCTCCCAATCCCGGGACGCTCTCTGGAATCCCTCTGGATTTTGCTCTCTCCCTCCGGCACTGATGGCAGTTCCCTGACATTATGCTTGTGTTGGCATTTACACATTTAATACAAAACAGGCAAATGTGATACGCTGCAGTTTTGCACAAGGCTTGTTTATGTTGGCTCTCTTCATTTAGGTTACCCCAAAACAGAAGTCTTCTTAACAGAGGCATACTGTTAGAACACGCATTAAGTATATTACTAATGTCTCGCTTAAGAACCACAAGAAGCCCATTGTGTAAAACTGTTTCATAATGATGTATTTTAACCAGAGCAAAGAGAAGCACCCTGTTAAATTCAAATGGTTTCCACATGGATAGCAATTAGCAGAACCACGGGCGATTATGACTTCATGTGTTCTCCAGCAGATAGTGTTTCTCTACTTATCTGTACAGTGTTTCATTCTCGCAGCAAAGAAGTCAAACTACCGAGTTACTTAATAGTCACAGGAAGAGAAAAAGAGGTATTACCCAAATTCCAAACATTTTAGTAACCTCTGTAATGGGTCATTTGCCAGCTTAGTGCTCACATATCAGACTTCTCTGCGCTCTTGTTAAAACGAGCGTGGGTCATTTTTCTAAGCTTTAACTAGTCCTTTGTGTCTTTCTCAACGACTGAGCAGAGACATGGGAAGAGGAGAGAAGTACACCATTGGCTCATGGGAGCCGTAAATCACTGCAGTGTACTTAAAAAAGAAAAGCGAAAAGGAACCCTTCTAAAACTCTTGCAGTCCTCCCTCAAGATTTTTCTTCCATTAAGTAGTAATGGGATGATGAATCCAATGACAGTTGTAGCAAAAAAACAAAAAACCCACTTTCCTCGATCCCCTTCTGAATGCCCTTCATTCCCACATCCAGCTATTCCATTCATAGGAGCCAACTCTTAGGGGCCAAGGTTCCCCCATAATAAAATACTTGAGGGGTTCAGGCTCCCCAAAGTTGAAGGACATTGCCATTCAAATGGTGTGTGTGCACCATATCTTGTGATTGATTATGTGGGGTGGGACTTATCTGCCCTCACCAATATTTTATTCAAGTTGGCACCCCTGCTTCTGTTAGGATTCTTGCTCCATGTTTGCAGTCATGGGATTGTTGTCTATCACATGATGGTGTATGTTTTCATTCCACAGTGTGGGAAGTGACGGAGACAGGATGTTTGGGTTACTGTGTTCCGTGAAGTAGGACTATTGTCCTTTGTTTCTTTCTCTTTGCTGTCTGATGAGAAAGAGGAAGGAGCTAAGGCAGAATGCTCCGAGTGTATTATATGTAAATAAAATTAGATTAGCCAAAATGCTGAGCTATTGAGTCTGTTACACGAACCGCCAATACTCTGCAGGATCCTAAAGCGTGCTAATGCCTCTTGGTATCAGTCGCTGTGATGTTTGGGCTGGAGAAAGCTTTTGAAGCTCCTGAACGATCGACCAGGAGGGAGAGAACATGCCAGTCAGGCATGTGTCTCTGCCAGGGTCCTGCACATGGGTAGGACGATCCTAACAGCTTCCATTCATAAACCCAACTTGATCACACTTTAGGGTCACCCATTTTTCATACATTACATATTTCATACATTATTCAAATGGCAAATAAATCATAAGTGACTTGTCATAATGCCTGTGAAATTTACTTTTGCCCTCTGGGATTGAGAAGACATGGACATATTCCATCCATTAAAAGCTATCTGTTTATTGTGGACAAAGGATCAGAAATACAATTCATAAGAAGTGTTGGTTGGCAATTCTGTTCCTTTCCAAATTTACCAATCAGGATACTCATTTCACTTTCTACCATCTTGATACATCTGGTGTGTTAATCTGGGATGACAGTACATTGAGATTCTATTTCATGTTTTTCTGAATAATGTCACAGGTATCCAGAGCAAAAGAAAGCTGGAGTTCTAAATCCACCTTCATCAAAAAAATCATACAATGGTAGAGTTGGAAAGGACCCTAAGTGTCATCTAGTCCAACCCTCTGCAACATGAATATAGTTTATGTTCATTGAGGAAGTATATTGATGCTTCCTATGCCTCCAAATGCCCCTTCTGTCACAGTGGACTTTTTTGAAGACCATTTACATCCATTAATCCAACTCGCAAAATTCATGCCATATAAGCTTGTAGTCTTGCCCCATTGTGTGGTTGTGCATGTGACCAGCTCCATGCCTAGAGGATGTGCTCTAGCCACCTGGAAGATGGACAAGGTGGGAGAAAACATGGGAGCAGCCCAGTAGCATGAACGATCACATAGCACCAGACTCAGAAGTATCTGCTTTCAGCGATTGGGTACGTTGCTCACACTTTCAGGAGTAGATCTGTGGACAGTGAAGGATTCCATTTCCCATGACCAGTTGGAGACCTCTCCAGTTATTGATTCCAGTGATGGGTAAGAATCTCATATCACAAATGAGGAACAGTAACACCAAGATGCCAATGTTGTTAACAAGCAGAGTCAAGGAAGTTATTAGAGGCAAGAAGGTTTCCTTAAGAAGCACCATTATCATTTTTTTTAAAGGGTTCTTAGGGGATCCAGGAACTTCCAGGTTGGTTGGGTTTATATCTGTTCCTGGGAAACTGGTGGAAAGCATCATTAAAGACAAAATTAGCAAACGCATAGGATAACAAATCTTTGTGAAGAAAAACCAGCATGACTTCTGTTAAGCAAGTTCTGTTAAGCAAGTTCTGAGAGAGTATGTGGATAAGAGTGGCCTGTTAGACACTTAAAACTTCCAAAAAACTTTTGATTAAGTCCGTCAAGCTTAGCAGTCATGGGATAAGAGAACTGTTCCTCTTATGGATCAATAACTGGCTAAAGAACAAAAGACAAAGAGCAGTAATAAATGAATAATTCTCACAATGAAAGGAGGTAGGAAGTGGGGTCCACCAAGGATCTGTAAGTTTTATCTTCTTGCTAAAAGGCAACAACAGGGTCAAGATCATGGAAATTCCATATTGCGTTTTCTGTATTTCATAGCTTGTTCAGCTGCAGTCAGTAAAATAAGCCTGTTTCTCTTCCATTGTGTGTTTAAAATAAAATGTTGTGCAGTGTATATGAATGCTGAAATTTTAGCATAAAGTGATACTTTGTTGCCCTGTGCCAAGTCTTGATCTCTCCTGATTATTGTAAATGCAGACTATATTCACTAAAGACTGCATATACTAGCATAATGAATGGCAGAATTCTCTCTCTCATGGTGCTGAATTTATCCAGTGAAAAAGAGCTTGTAATTAGATATAACTAAACATCTGCATTAAAAATCTGTTATGTGCCAGTTTGCATTAGAATTGTTGTTATTTTTATAAAGCACTATTTATATTACACTTTAACTTCTCATTTAGGAAGGAGTCTTGCAGCAGACTGGAGAAAACATATACCGTATTTTTCGCCCTATAGGACGCACTTTTTCCCCTCCAAAAATGAAGGGGAAATGTGTGTGCGTCCTATGGGGCGAATGCAGGCTTTCGCTGAAGCCTGGAGAGCGAGAGGCGTCGGTGCGCACCGACCCCTCTCACTTTCCAGGCTTCAGGAAGCTATCCGCAAGCCTTGTGAGCCCGGCTGGAGTTCCCGCGGGCTCGCAAGGCTTGGGGGCAGCAGCCTGCAGCCCGAAGCACGAGGCACCCTCCGGAGGACGCCCCGTGCTTCGCACAGGTGTCCGCAAGCCTTACGCACCCCGGGGGAGTTCCCGCGGGCTTGCAAGGCTTGTGGGCGGCAGCCTGTTCTGGGGGCTGGGGTAGAAAATATATTTTTTATTATTCATTTTCCCCCCAAAAAAACGAGGTGTGTCCTATGGGCCAGTGCATCCTATAGGGCGAAAAATACCGTAATAGTGGACTAAGAAAAAAAATGAAGATCCTGGACACTGATGGGAAGCTATTCTTGCTTGTTGGTGTATAGCTGTCAGTGGATGTGAGGAATCTTGCACACCTTAGAAGTGTGTGTGTGTTTGTGTTCTCAGTTTTTATTTTGGGGCTGAAAATTGTGATTTAGTGGAATAGAAATATATGTGAATCTTTAATAGTATTCAGTTCAAACTTTTGTCCTAGCTGCTACCGATTCAGTATCAGTTTTCTCCCTTTTCCCTAGGTAATCAAGAAGGGGAGGGACATGGGTGGCGCTGTGGGTTAAGCCACAGAGCCTAGGACTTGCTGATCAGAAGGTCGGCGGTTTGAATCCCCGCAACGGGGTGAGCTCCCGTTGTTCAGTCCCTGCTCCTGCCAACCTAGCAGTTCGAAAGCACGTCAAAGTGCAAGTAGATAAATAGGTACCGCTCTGGCAGGAAGGTAAATGGCGTTTCTGTGCACTGCTCTGGTTCGCCAGAAGCTGCTTAGTCATGCTGGCCACATGACCTGGGAGCTGTCTGCAGACAAACGCCGGCTCCCTTTGCCTATAGAGCGAGATGAGCGTGCAACCCCAGAGTCAGTCATGACTGGACCTAATGGTCAGGAGTCCTTAATTAAGAAGGGAGTTTATAAGAATGCCAACACTGCTCATTAGAAATGGTGATTAGTTTTGTGCATTAGTTTTATCAATGAATTCAAAATCAAGGGTATGTCATAGTAATTTGTGACATCTCATAGCCTCTTTTGCAGGTTATGGAAGCAACAATGGAGCGTCTCTGAGCATGGCTGAGGAAGAGGAGTGTTAAAGCACAAGGAACGAGATCAGTCTAGAGATCTCAGTGAAAACCCTCTTAGAGCTACATGGACTTAAACCATCTGGGACTGTGGCTTTATGCTAAGTTGATTCATGTGATATAGGTTTCATGTAATGTGAATCTTCCACATGGGTGGAAACTTCTTAGATGACACTAAGGCTTCATGCACTTTGTGCGTTGATTGATTATCCATGGTTAAGATATGGGAAGTGATCCCATTCCCATTCCCACAACCAGATGACTTTGCAGAAAGGCTCATGAAACTCAGAATAATAGTGTGTTTATTTCTGTATTTTATATCAACTCACACAAAAGCCCATTAATTTCATATACTCCAAAGGGAATGCAATTGACTAACACAATCTCCTTTGATCACTCACATACATATTCCATAATTTGCAGCCATTGGTGGCTATTGCAAGAATGTGGAGCTAAATTTAGTCTCTCAGACTGCAGCCCATGGCTTCCCAGCATTGTATCCAGATTTATCCAGCTAGAGTGATTATTTTCCCCCCAACAAGCTTCCTTATTTGGTTTTGTACCCCAAAGTAACTTCCAGAATTATTGAAGGGGGAACCTTATAACAGGATGGCCACATATTTAAAGAGACTGAAGGCTTTTGACTTATCCAGAACTCTCAGGCAAACTGGAGAATCGAACAAGGAGAACAGATCTCCTATATTATGTCTCTGGCTAGGCTGTTTCTGAAACAGTGTGACTGCTGACTCAGAGCTCAGATTTTGGGGTTGACAGTCATCAGGCAAACCAAGGAAATATATAGCAGAAGGTAAAAAAGGTAACAGCTCCAAATCAAGCTGTCTATCCCTCCTTCCTATACTCTATCTTTGCAAAGTTAGAACTGAACAAATAGAAAAGAGATGGCAAAAAACATTCTATTGGCTTAGTGGCAAATTCTTGTTCAATTAAAACAATGTTATGTTGATGTTGTTGGTTTTTTTTTTAAAAAACACCTCTTTAAGCAGTCAATAGAATAAAGGCAACAATATAGCAGCATCAGACAAAATTATCATATTTTAAAAATTGGAAGCAAGCCAACTTAGCAGACAATCCAAAATCAGTTCAATAACACTATCCGGGTAGGGAGTGGGGAAGAAGAAGGAATCCATAGCACTTAAGATGTCAGCTTGAAAACTCATCTCTCTCGGCTGTTTGAATGGTTCAGCTTCTGTAGACGGCAGTCTTCCATTCTTCCTGTTATGAAAAGCTCCCCAAGGTTCAAATGCATAGGAAGAAGGTGCCCCTTGCTGCTCCCATCAGCATATTTCTGGTCTGTATTCATCCATTCCTCTTCTGGACTGATCTGCAATTTTAAAACTGAAAGCAAACACACATCCACTACATTTAAATATTATTTAAATGGTGTTTTCAATATGCCTTTTAACATTATTTCCCTACACAAATGCCGAGTGGAGTCCCTAAGATGGTTGGATGGCGCCTGGTACACCTCCTTCTGGCAACTCCTGCAGCCAAGCTGCTTTCCTTTGGACCCCATCAAGGGAGGTCAAGAGGGCCCTCACTTCGTGGAGGAAGTGCTGTGGGGTGGGCCAGAGCTGGATGGGAATGGTGAGTCCAGGGCTCTCATGCGTGCCCCCTACTTGAGTTGCCATAAGTCCAGGACAGCAGCACATGAATAAGGTAAAGGTAAAGGGACCCCTGACCATTAGGTCCAGTCGTGGCTGACTCTGGGGTTGCGGTGCTCATCTCGCTTTACTGGCCGAGGGAGCCGGCGTACAGCTTCCGGGTCATGTGGCCAGCATGACTAAGCCGCTTCTGGTGAACCAGAGCAGCGCACGGAAACACCGTTTACCTTCCCGCCGGAGCGGTACCTCTTTATCTACTTGCACTTTGAGGTGCTTTCAAACTGCTAGGTTGGCAGGAGCAGGGACTGAGCAACGGGCGCTCACCCCGTTACGGGGATTTGAACCGCCGACCTTCTGATCGGCAAGTCCTAGGCTCTGTGGTTTAACCCACAGCGCCACCTGTGTCCTGCAGCACATGAATAGGAGCTGCAAATTACTGTGTCAAGGTACTGAGAGTTGTTTCTATTTACAGCTCTGAAAGCCCTGCTTTAATCTTAGAAATTTCGGAGACTGCAAATTCAGCACAGCTCTTGTTGAAATATTGGAGCATAGGTGGCTTAAATCCCATTTGAGTGGGTCCTGTTGCAGACTGAAATAGCATCTCAATCTGGCTTACTGAGCGCCTTTCCCCCCTTAAATTGCCCTGCTCATCAACAATTGCCAGTGCTGGAAAGTATGTGTGGATGGGTGGAACTGCAAACTGTCCGTATTTTTCCAAAGGGTGTTAGGAATGAGCAACAGAGTGAAATTGAATCTCAGCTGCTGTTAGCCCGCGGCAAGGAGGGGGTTAGAGAAGAAGGGCTATCCCTTTCTATTTAACATTTAATTTACATTCATTTCAACTTCTGCTGTAATGAATGGCTGTTTTCTGTTTTTGGTTCTTGACAATTAAGAGGACCTCAAAGCAGGTAGGTTGCTTCCCACCCAACATGATTACAGACTGTAATCATGCCAGTGTGCTTTATTCCCACCTCGCCCTGTTAGATTTCACTAGCCAAAGGGAGTTGCTAATCAGATGAGAGACATTCAGGGGGAGGGTGGGAGGTGCAGGATCCTGCAGCTGAAGCTCTGGATGGAGCATGTTAATTAATGTGCTAGGCGCACTTTGCAATACCATCCGTTTGTTGAAATGTTCCAAAAGATCTGCAAATGCCATCTTGGTAGTCAAGATAACCCTACAGTGAATTGGCAGCTGTTGCAGTAATGAGCTCCTATATGTTTATATCCAGTTGCTTTGATATAGGGTAACTGCCTTACTTTCATACAATCCTAGAGATCAAAGGAACCTCACAAGTCATCTAGTCTACCCCCTGCAATGCAAGAATCCCAGTTGACGCAGCCATGAGAGATGGCCAGCCAATCACTCCTTAAAAACTTTGACTGAAGGAGATTCCACCACCTCCTGAGGGGGTCCATTCCACTTGAATAGCTCTTACTGTTTTCGCTATGTTAGCAACACTGAAGTGACTTCTCTGGGGTGTGAGAGTGTGTAAGGAGGTCCTGGGCTGCCCAGACAACAAGACCCTCCTCTCGGCCTCGTTGGTATGGTCCAAATGAAAGCAAAGCAATACGTTTGGCACCAGCTTGGCTGCAGAGTTGCAGCCAATGATCTTAGGCAGTCCTTAGCCCAGGCTTCCTCAAACTCGGCCCTCCAGATGTTTTTGGCTACAACTCCCATGATCCATAGCTAGCAGGACCAGTGGTCAGGGATGATGGGAATTGTAGTCTCAAAACATCTGGAGGGCCGAGTTTGAGGAAGCCTGCCTTAGCCCTTTCTTCTCCCAAAGATATCCTGCAAGGCAGCAGGTACAGACTGCTCCTCAGGGTTTACTCCCAAAGCCTTTCTCACGAATGAGTATAGCCATGGAACAATGGTGATTTAGGATCAGAGTTTTCCTTCTATATGGGCTACCTTCCCAGTGGACGAGCCCCACCTGCCCCTTGCTTCCCTCTGCAGCACATACAGAAACTGCCTTCTTTACCACTGGACCGACTATTGGTCTTGTCCACGCAATCCACGGGAGCATGTCTTAGCCTTAACTCACAAGGGTTTGAGACCCATCAGCTCCCCTTACCTGGTTTAGCCAGCCAGCTAAAGCCATTTTCCAGGGTGTCGTATACTGACAGCTTCTGGGAGCCACAGGTGAGAGCTGAGAGCAGGGTGGGGACCAAAGGTTGACAAGCTACCCCAAGAATGAGCACAACATGCCCCTCCCCAGAGGTACTCCTCGTCCTCTAACCCCCCCCATACACCCATGTATGTATAGACTACATATTCTATTACCCTTGAACAGGGACTTCTAGGCCTCTCTCACAAAGGCAAAAGTTGCAGTTGCATAAGTACTTTAGAAATAACTTCAGTGGCTCTCGAATACTGAAGAAACCCCTTCCAAAGTAGAATTATGATTCTGCCTAGGATTGTTGGACCTTCACAGCTCATTCTTGATCTCAGTCTGTTTTTATAGGATTTACATAAAGAATTTAGACGAACACAAACCACATATTTCTGGTCAATGATCGCAATGTTAAGTGTTGTGGGGTGTTTTCCTTCGTATTTGAGAATATCAGGTACATTCTTGTGGGGGAGGAAAGAAAACATGGGAGCTTGGTAGCCATCATGTTACTCATTTGAGACACTGGAACTGGCTGTTCTAAGAAACCACATTGCAGTTTCCTTATTTTTCAACCCTATGCTGACTTTATGGAATGCGATCTTATTATTTGCACTTTAATTGCAAGTTTATCGACACCTGCATCTGCAGCATAAAATTACTCCCTTGGAAACGCTTTCTCACAAATATGTTACTGGAGCTGTGTGGAAAGATACAAACTGCTCCACAAACAAGCCTAGCAGCCTGTACTGAACTGTACCAAGTGTATTGTATATGCCGGGCTAAGTTGTAATTAATATCCCTGACCCACAAACCTCCATTTTACTGGAGGAAAACAATTGTGTAAGCACTACAGCTGTCCTTTATAAGTTTCTGGGATCATGACAAGTTTAAACATGAACTTTGTCCTGCATTAGACAGTCATTAGGAACACACACTTGAGGAGAATATGGAAACTGCTGTTTGCAGAGCCATTCAATATGCAACAGACAAAAGTAATCAAAATCTATCTAGTTTTTATTGATTCCAAACAGCAACCATCCAGATGCATCTGTAAAGACATGGATGTGGAGAGTTTCCCAGTCCATTGTTGCCTTGAGTAGGAGAAGTGGGAAGCAAACTTTCATGGCATTTCATAACATGTGTTTAGTAGAAACCCTCACTTCTCATCAAGGTCAAGGAATGAGGTGGGAATGAAGTGGGGGGAAATGGGTGGAAAAGCTTAATATCAGGATTTAAAGAAATTTCCATCCTCCTTTTGACCTTCTCTCATATCCTCTCATTTCTTCACTTGATTACTTGTCCTCTGGCGCTGTGGGTTAAACCACTGAGCCTAGGACTTGCCGATCGGAAGGTCGGCGGTTCGAATCCCCGCGACGGGGTGAGCTCCCATTGCTGGATCCCTGCTCCTGCCAACCTAGCAGTTTGAAAGCATGTCAAAGTGCAAGTAGATAAATAGGTACCGCTCCGGTGGGAAGGTAAACGGCATTTCCGTGCGTTGCTCTGGTTCGCCAGAAGCGGCTTAGTCATGCTGGCCACATGACCCGGAAGCTGTACGCCAGCTCCCTCGGCCAATAAAGCGAGATGAGCGCCGCAACCCCAGAGTCGGTCACGACTGGACCTAATGGTCAGGGGTCCCTTTACCTTTACTTAATAATATTCATTCACATTTATAAAATGTTCATTCAAGCTGAAAGCTTCCTTCTTCCTGGGTTTCTTTTTGATAGTCTGGTTCGCTGGCTCCATATCAAAAAGAAAACATCTCATAAATTTCTGGAGGCAGGTATTCTATTTATTTATTTATTCTGTTATTTTAAAGAAGAAGAAAAAACTCAGAGCAACTTTTGACAGAAGAAAAGACAAACAATGGCACAATAAACAGAAATATCCAAGAACCAATAACTAGGAATGGAAGAGAATTTTGTATGGATTGAGGGTTATCACAGATTAATACATGCAAATCTGAGAATAATTTTAAATAAACAGATCTTTCCATCCTTACCAGTGGCATAAAAAATGGGGAAACAGATATACAAATAAAAAGCCCAGTAACTCTCAGCCTCCTCTAAAGGCTTCATTTAAATGTTTTAATAAGGCAGCACAGAGAACACCAATATAGGCTCAGGAAGGCTTCCCTGGGATGGACTTTCCATAGTGCTGGAGCCACAACTAAAAAGGTCCTGCCCCATATACCTCAACCGAGGCAGGGACAGGGAGAGGATTTGGAACAGGACCTCAGAAATGGAAATGTTGTGTAGGAAATGAACACAGAGGTGAAGTGGACCATCAGGAACAGTGGTAGCTCGGGTTACATACGCTTCAGGTTACAGACTCCGCTAACCCAGAAATAGTACCTCGGGTTAAGAACTTTGCTTCAGGATGAGAACAGAAATCGCATGGCAGCGGCGCAGCAGCAGCGGGAGGCCCCATTAGCTAAAGTGGTGCTTCAGTTTAAGAACAGTTTTATGTTAAGAACGGGACCTCCGGAACGAATTAAGTACGTAACCAGAGGTACCACTGTATCCTGGCCCAAATCACCGAGGGCTTTAAAAGTAATAACAAGCATCTGGAATGCAAGACAAGAGTCATAAACCCCCTGAGAAAAGTCTGTCAATGGTTGCTATACCAACCATGCAATCTCTTAAGTGGAGAGCTGATGTCAGTTTGAACACTGAATGTGTAAGCTTACGTCTAGAGCAGTGGTTCCCAAACTTTTTTTGGCCATGCCCCACCTAAGCATCTCTAAAATCCTGATGCCCCCCCATGACATATAATTCTTATTTTTCAAAATGTGAACTCCTAAAAACGGTGACCACTCCAACTGAGCCTCTACAGAGCAGTCACATTCAGGGGGAGATTTCACAACTGTTGACTGACCACCAGGGCTGTCTTAACCCAGTCCCAGGCATGCAGGAGGGCAGAGCTGGTGGTCACATCATTGTCTCGCTGGCTCAGTCACCCCCGAACTAGCGGCACAGAGCTGCCCACAGCAGAAGAGCCTGCTGTGGCGCTCAGACCAGCGGGCGGGCTCTTCCCCAGACTCAACTCTCGGGCCCCAGACTCTCAGCCTTGGGCCCCTGAGAGCCTGGCGCCTAGGTGCCACATACCCCTAGTGCTCATGGGTAAGACGGCTCTGCTGAGCACTCCCGGAGCACTACTCCCCCTGAATGCGCCCAGTTTATTTTCTATTTAGATAACCTTTTCTGTTTAGATAACCTCTCCATTGTCACCAGCTGACCATCGTGTACATTCCGATTTTAATTTTTAAAATATGTATTATTATTATTATTATTATTACTATTATTATTACACTGGTCAACCACAAATTTGTTGTCTGCATTTTTTCAGTTGATTTAGGACAAATCTGATGCGCTGAATCCAAAAATCACATTGGTTTTGCTCAATCAGGTCGAGTTTTTGAGCTATGGCCACATGTCTTTTTTTACGTTTTTGTTCACATGTACGCTTGTGTGGAGCATTTTAGAAGAAGTTGGTGGGGGTAAAATGCCATGTCGAATAATTGTTTTGATTGGAAAAGATTATTTTAATGACAAGAAGTATTCAGGTCCGATAGTTCTAGGTGATTATGTCGAAAAGGGATCAGTTTGAAGTCATAAAACCTCGAAATCTTCCATAAATTGGTGCGGCAAAGCATAAAGTTGCTTACCATGCTTATTTTGGTATTAAACTTGGTGACCAGGATAAAGCTTGGGTGCCACACATGGTGTGCAAGGCATGCACTGAGACTCTATGTGGGTGGACCAATGGCAAGAGGAGTCTGAACTTTGGAGTTCCCATGGTTTGGAGGGAGCCGACAAACCATGTCACTGACTGCGACTTCTGCGCTGTTAATGTGACTGGGATCAACAGAAAGAACCGGAGCAGCCTCAAGTATCCTGATCTTCAATCAGCACGTCGTCCTGTAGCTCATTGTGATAAAATTCCAGTGCCTATCTTTGGAGAACTTCCTGACATTAGTGACGAAGATGCATCCAGTGTTGAAGGACATGAAGAAGAAGAAGTGGTTCTTGAAGATGATGCTCCACATCCATTTTCCCAAAAGGAGTTGAATGATCTAGTTCGCGACCTCAGCTTGTCAAAGGACTCTGCCGAACTGTTGGCATCCAGATTGAAGGGAAAAAACCTCCTCTCTGACAGTGCTTGTATCAGCTTCTTCCGCAACAGGCATCAAGGGTACCTCCATTTTTTCTCAGAAGAGAAGGACTTTGTGTATTGTGCAGATATTGCGCAGCTTCTGCTCAAGCTTGGAGTGCCACAGTATGAACCCAAAGATTGGAGACTGATCATTGACAGCAGCAAGCGATCACTGAAATGTGTTCTGCTACACAACGGCAACCAGTTTGCCTCTATACCCCTGGCTCACTCGACTACACTGAAGAAGAACTATGGAGCGGTGAAGTATGTGCTGGAGAAAATTGGTTATGATCAGCATAAGTGGTTTATTTGTGTTGACCTGAAGATGGTGAACTTTTTGTTGGGACAACAGTCTGGCTTCACCAAGTACCCATGTTTTCTGTGCATGTGGGATAGTAGGGACTGTGCTCAGCATTACACGAAGAAGGACTGGCCTGTGCGGGAGGAATTGGTGCCTTGCAGAGAAAGGAACATCATCAACGACCCTCTGGTGGACAGAGACAGAATACTCTTCCCACCACTGCACATCAAGCTCGGCTTAATCAAGCAGTTCACCAAGGCTCTGGACAAGGATGGTGACTGCTTCACTTACTTGTGCCAGGCTTTTCCAGGATTGACCATGGAGAAGTTGAAAGCTGGCATCTTTGACAGTCCTCAGATCCGTCAGCTCATCAGAGATCCAGAGTTCGGAAACTCAATGAACGAAGTGGAACTGGAAGCGTGGAAGGCATTTGTTCTGGTAGTGAAGAACTTTCTTGGCAACAATAAGGCCAGAAACTATGCAGAACTTGTCAACAACATGCTGACTGCTTTCAGAAACCTGGGCTGCAACATGAGCGTCAAGATGCACTACCTATTTTCACATATGGACCGGTTTCCTGAGAACCTGGGTTCAATGAGTGACAAGCAGGGGGAGAGATTCCATCAGGACATGAAAGAGATGGAGACCAGGCATCAGGGTCACTGGGATGCAGTCATGATGGCTGACTACTGTGGGACTCTGAAGAGAGACCTCCCTGCCGCTGAGCATTCCAGGAGTTCCAAGAAACGGAAGTTCAAGCCCTGAAGTTTGAAAAATGGTGAAGCAACATGCAATTTACGTGTACTTACCTTTATCAATGCCCACCATTTGGTTTACAGTAATCGATGTTTCTATCAGGTAATCAATATATGTTGTTGAAAAAACATTTTTTTCTCTTAAAAACATATTTAGGATGATATGTGTTGACAAAAATCAGCTGATAATGCCACAAAAATGTAATCGATTTTGTCACAAGATCTGATTTTTTTCAAATCAACATAGCACAAAAACCTGACCTGATGGAGAGAAACAGATGCCATTTCCTGATTCAGCAGTGCAAAAATACCCTAAAGCAGTTGTAGAAATCTAGACAACATTCAAAAAGTAAAAAATTGTTGCCCAGTGTTATTCATTGAATTTATATACCGCCGTATACCCGGGAGTCTCAGGGCGGTTCACAGAATTGTGTATTTCACAATATATATTTATATACTGTATATGAGGCCCCTGGAACCATAAGAAATGCAAAAAACCCCCCCACTGTTAATAACTCATTCTCGAATTGCCACCCTTAAAAATCAAATCCCCCTTCCTCCGTGTGCTGTGGGCCCCACGTTGGAAACCACGGGTCTAAAGACAATGGACAGGACAAACACCATTAGATGTACTATTGGATAAGTGTTTAATTATATTTCCATTTGTATTTGTTTAAAAACTAATTTTAAAATTGTTGTTTTAGGGGGGAAAGTCTGGCAGTGCTCATTTGTACCAACTGAATTTTTGGAATGCCTTTTGAGAACAGTCCCCCCATTGCAGCAACACAATCTAGAGATGACTAAGTCATCCATGTTACACTTAATGAGTTTCAGGAACAGCTCGCCTGGTGGGGCAGAGTTGCAGCAAGAGCATCGTGGTGCCCACAGCAGTACAGCGTATCAGGAGGAGGGGAAGGGGAAAGGTGGTGGTGAGACTGCAGCTTCATGGGTGGACTGGAAGAATCAATGATTGTGCCAGCAGCACCTCCTTCTCCCTTGTTGTCCTCCTCCCAGTAAGTGCTGGTGGTGTTCCTGCTAGGATCCTGCAGCTCTGACTCTGCACCATTGTAGCAGCTAAAAGGTAAAGGTAAAGGGACCCCTGACCATTAGGTCCAGTCGCGAATGACTCTAGGGTTGCAGTGCTCATCTCGCTTTATTGGCCAAGAGAGCCGGGTCATGTGGCCAGCACGACTAAGCTGCTTCTGGCGAACCAGAGCAGCAAACGGAAACGCCGTTTACCTTCCCACTGGAGTGGTACCTATTTATCTACTTGCACTGGCGTGCTTTCAAACTGCTAGGTTGGCAGGAGCTGGGACCGAGCAATGGGAGCTCACCCCATTGTGGAGATTCAAACCGCCAACCTTCTGATTGGCAAGCCCTAGGTTCTGTGGTTTAACCCACAGTGCCACCCGCATCCCTATTGTAGCAGCTACTCCTGCT